TAAGTGAGTGTACAAGCACGCATCAACCTACCTAGACCGCTGCCTTGGCTTAGTCTTTGCTCCAAGTCACATTTTATCATGGCATTCTGATGTCAATATTTGTCATTGCTTTCATGTTCCTATACAGGAAGTACTCATATGGATTTAACTAACATGACCCCAGCGATGGCTTGTGCTGTAAATTCGTGAATGTTTACCGTGTTCAGCCTGCCTCTGACGATTATTATTATTCATCATCCAGTTTTTGGCTTCAGTTCCTTGACATGATTCAAAGACAAACAACAGTGACTTGTCAATGCTTTTATCAGACAACTGACATCGGTCGTTTTCCATCAATTCCTGTCAAGCATATATTTTTTTTTCGCCTCATCATGTGCCTTATCCTGGCCGGTGTAGCACGAACTAGTTTCCGGCGAATTTTAGTATTTCGTAGTCTGGATGATCAGAGCCTATGGGACACAAATTTGCAACACTTTCATCGGGGGTAAACAATTATTAAATATTTCTATGTATTCCTTAATAAAATAAAGTAACTAAAGTTTATACAATCGAGCATGTACCTTATGCTCAACTTAACTTTACAGCTTAATTATCTAGCATAAACAATCAGTAAAAAAATATGTAAAAGCAAATTTACGTTGAAAAAAATCACAAGTCACTTTACAGCGAGAAACAGCGAGCATGATGGGAAGGTTAGGTGAAACTTAACTTCCTTTACAGCGACAGTTATTAGGCTAACAATAATAAGGCGGGAATAGGTCGGGTGAACAATAATAAGGCGGGAATAGATTGGTGCTCATATTACGTCCGCATAAGCGGTATAAGATGAAAACTGTATTGACATTTACTGGCAGTTTGTTGGTGGAGTTATTCGTAGCTTCGGGTTGGGAGACTTTGTCTCTAGCTGCGCTCAACTTTTAGTTTGCTTACATGTTTCTAATATAGGCCTATAAAATATAAATATTACTATATTATATAACTATATATATTGTGTTCACAGTGTGTCTGTTTAAACACACTGTGATTTCTTCTACTCTGTGTATTCCTTAAAATCACACTGTGTTCACTGTGTGCTTACTGTATAAACACACTGTGATTTCTTTTCACACTGTGTATCCCGTAAATTCCCACAGTGTTCACTGTGTGTTCACTGTATGTAATTCAAAAACACAGAGTTAACACAGCGTTTACTGTGTGGACTCTATGTGAACACAGTGTGTACTGTGTGGACTCTATGTGAACACAGTGTGTACACACTGTGGTATTTTCCAAAGGGCAGTATTTTCAAATAAAAAAAGCCATTCTTAAAAGTTGGTTGAACAAATTTATAAATGACATACTTATAGTGATTAGCAAGGAAGCACATGCTTAACCCATTTTTACATAGATAATTTAAACAACTACATAAATATAGAAAAAATAGTATTAAATATTTATTTAAAATCTTCAAAAAAAAAAATTGTTAAGAAATGGAGTTCTTTTACTTCATTATTAAAAGAAATTAATATTGCATAATTTAATTTTTATTTGCCCGTCACCACAATCGTATTTATGTTCTGTAACTTTTGTTTTTCATTTTGAATTTACTATGATGTACTCTGTCTTTGTTTATGTTCTTTTCTTTAACCAATGAAAAAAATGAATAAAAAATAAAAATAAAAGAAAAAAATATTTAGTTCAAATAAAATCAATATAACCAAATATTTGCAGATAATAACATTGATTGAAAAAGTTTGGACAAAACAAGTTAAAGAGATAAAGACTCCGAAGACAGCTAAATTTAACTTCAAATTACCACATTCAGAAAAGAAATTAGATGATTCACCATTGTGTGTACATTGCGTAATGATTGTTGACGAAGAACACATGTTAATGACGTGCTTGGTAAAAATCTGAGTTGCAATGTTGCATCTATATTCAAACATAAAAATAATATTACTTTCAAAAATGTTGTATTGGGTATAGCCAAACAAAACAATATCACTAATGAACTAATTGCAAAAGCAGCTTATACAAACTGGTTATACCCAGTAACAGCAAATTAATGGATCTTATTTTGCAATTTTAATTCAAGTGTGAAAAGTCAACATGATATTGAAGCTAGAATGATGAAAAATAAAAAATTCAGATGATAAAAATAGGCAAAGATGGATTGATATACACACTATAAACAAAAATTATTATGTAAGAGTAGGGTACTCTAGTAATACTGTTAATGTAAAGTGTTTAAACTACATACCACTTTATAAACGACTGTACTGTAGGAAAAAAAAATATTTTCTTTATTTGCAAGTCGACTGTGGTTTAATGATTGATTGATTGATTGATTGATTATGTGTGCGTGTGTGTGTGTGTGTGTGTGTTTGAGAGAGAGGGGATGCGGATAACAAATAATCAAGAAAACACTTTTAAACACTTTTCCTCAGTTATACCACGGTCCGGTGATGGATTAGGCTTATATTGCGTTAAGCATAATACAAAGAGGACAGTGGATTGACGCTTTCCAATATTTTATTAATGCTCACTGTATAAAGGTACACAATCGCATTTAAACTTTGTTTTGTTTCTTTATTGAAAAAAACCCGGTCAACAGCCATGATCGAAAAACAACAACGTTCCGCTCTCGCATAAAAACTATTATAGCGCCTTCAACACTTCAACTATTGTTTTAATTGAATAATAATTTCTCTTCTATTCATTCTCCCCTTCTTCGACATACTACAGTTTGTCGACATTTCTCATTAATTTTAACATAACATAAATTTCACAATTTTACATCATCATGGTATTTGTTTAACAAGCATAATAATAATAACATTTAATACCTGGTATACATGATTTATGAAGCACCAATAGCATACATGTACAAACACTTTTTAAACTTTGTGAACACTGCTTTTATAAATTAAATATATGAATCCAGTAAAATCTAATGAAATATGGCATTAAATACATTACTATGACCTTTAAAATTTCACTGAAACTTGTTCACACTAGCTTTATGCATTTCTTTTTACTTTACATTATGGTACATAATATTGAACCCTATTAACTATTACTATCATATGTTTACTTTATGTTCCATCGGACCGTTGATAGACATTTTAACAATACCCCCTTTTTTTTCAATTTAACTCAACAATTATGAGCATAACACAAACTCAATTACAAGTCCATAGTATCCCCAACTATTTCGTTTTATTTTCTACTACCACAGTACAATGTTTTACTATATCTTCCTACACTTGTTCATTCCATGATCTCTAAAGGACATACCTTGTTAATCCCTCTTACTATTTCTCCATTAGCAGTTTTAAACTTAACTACCCTAACATGACCGTCTGGTCCTGGGAAAACTTCTACCACCCTACTTAATGGCCACCGGCCGCGCGTAGTTTCCTTCTCGACTACCAAAACAACATCATTTACTTCTATGTCTCGTTTCATCTCCTTCCACTTATTTCTCTTATTCAATGCAGGTAGCCACTCCTTCAAACACCTGCTCCAGAAATGCCTCATCAGCTCTTAAACACGACGCCACCTTTTCCGTGGGCTAAATTTAGTTGTATCCAAGATCTCCTCCGATGCAAACATTCCACCCATCTGCCCATGCAGGAAGTGATTAGGTGTTAATGGTAAAGCATCTTTCCCTGAAGCAGTTTGGTATGTCAGTGGTTGCGAATTCATAATTCCTTCTGCGCCTTCAAATGCCGAGTGCAATTCTTCATCAGTGATGTCTGCATTTTAAGTATTGCATAAATTGCTTTCTTTGCAGACTTTAATAAGCTCTCATGAGCGCCGCCAAAATAAGGAGTCAACGGTGGTATAAACCTTCACTTAATACCTTTTCCCACTGTTGCTGTTTGTATTTTCGTGTGGTCTAACAACTTAATTAATTCCTTTAACTCCCTATTCGCTCCTACAAAATTTGTCCCATTGTCAGATAAAATCTCTTTTGGCTGGCCTCTCCGACTCACAAAACGATAAAATGCGTTTAGGAATGTATCAGCTCTAGTTGCCAAACAAGTGAATAGACACAAATATCTCTTTGTTCTGACCTTGCCTCTGCCATGAATTGTCAGAAATGGTCCTGCATAATCCACTGCCACTCAGGTAAACGCCTTTAAACTATCAATCTTAGTCCTAATTTCAGGAAGTGGAGCCATGATTTGTTCGCCTATTTTTGCCGTTCGTCGCTTACATCCCATGCAGTTCCTCTCACAATCTCGGATTTCTTCTCTGTTATGAATTATCCAATATCTTTCCGATAACAGTGATAATATTATATGATTTGTTCCAGCTACATGTTTACCCAAGTCATGGTACTTCTTTACAATAAGTTTAGTGACCGGATGCTTTCTAGGCAATATGATTGGGTATCTGACGTCATGTGGCAAGGCTTCAACCAAACTTAAACGTCCTGTCATGCGCAATACCCCGTCTTTGGCTACTGAAGGTGTTAATGTACTCAATACACTGTTAGATCCAACAATACCATTTTCCTTTAAGTTCCTTATGTCATTTGGGAATGATTCTTGTTGCGCCTTTCGTATTATGCTCAGTTCCGCATACTGGATCTCTTCATGCTCCAACCGCCCATAGACCCTGTCATTTTTGTTGGATCGACAATTTGTTATGAACCTATGAACATAAGCTGCTATTCTAATCAGTCTTGACCAACTTGAATACCGTTTTGGATCCAGTCTCCAATAATCATCTATGTTTAATGGCCCAACTTGGTTTAAGAAGGAACGCACACATTTTCTTTGTTCGGTAACGCTTCCACCTTGATCTATTTTGTTTACTAGCCAACGTTCTTCCGACTCCATTAAGAATTCTGGTCCATTCCACCACATTTTATTAACTTTCAAACTCTCAACTATAGTACCTCTTGAGGCAACGTAGGCGGGATTGGACTTTGTTGGTACGTCACGCCACTGGTTTGGGTTGGTCTTCTGTTGAATCTCGCCTATCCTATTTGCCACAAAGGGCTTGAAAGATCAACTACGACCTCGTGCCCACCAGAGTACATCAATACTGTCACTCCAAAATGTTACCTCCTTTATATCGTAATTCAATACGGTTACAATCGATATAGTAATTTGTAGCCCTAACATAGCTGCCATTAATTCTAATCTGGAAATGCTCACGGATTTTAGTGGCGCTACTCTGGTTTTTGATGCTATCAATCGCACTGTCTTCTGTTCACCATCAGAGCTTCTTAAATATACAACTGCTGCATACGTATCGTTTGAAGCATCAACAAAAGTGTTAATTTGTTGATCTTTGTCATTAGTAGATTTTATACATCTTGGAACTTCTAATTTCTGTAGATTTTGTAAACCACTCAACCAGTCCGCTACACCGTTTGCTACATTTTGTGGTACAAGTTCATCCCAAGATACTCCCAGTGTCCAGAGCTCCTGGAGCATTATCTTTGCAGAAATAATCACTGGTAATATAAAACCAAGCGGATCAAACAATGTCGCAATTTTACTTAAAATATTTCTCTTTGTCATGTTTTCTATAGACCTCCCTGGTCCTCTGAAAACAAATACATCACTTTCAGCTTTCCACATTAATTCTAATGTTTTTACTGAAGGCAATTCACTTTCATTTAATTCCAGTTCTTTTGCTCTTTTTCCTTCAGGTATCGCCTCCAAAACCTCCTTAGAATTAGATAACCATTTTCTCGCCTTCATACCAGCTTTCCCTCATTACTCCATTAGTTGATTGTACAACTCAACCACTGTTTTCACAGCATTCACTGAGTCCATGCTATCATCCATTATATATATTCATTAATATTGTTTCTGCTGCTAGAGGATACCACCGTTCATGTAACTTAGCATTTTCTTGTGCAACCTTCTGGGAAATAAATGGCGCCACATTAACTCCAAATACTAATCTGTTAAATTCATTTAACTCTGGCTCTTTACTCTCATCTAGATCTCGCCATAAAAACCTAGACATTAATTTGCTTATTTTCATTAGCCAACTCTATTTGTAGATACATCTCAGATATGTCACAGACCACAGCTACTGAATGTCTTCGAAATCTAAATAACACATTAAACAGATTATTTTGTAATTTTGGTTCGTTATGTATGACATCATTTAGTGACACTCCATGATACGGAGCAGAAGCATCATACACTACCCTGACTTTGGTTGTTTCTCTATCTAGCTTAACTACAGGAAAGTGTGGAAGGAACCATTGCTGTTCAAGATTATGTTTTTCTTCTGGATTCATCTTTCTTATATACTCTTTTTCCCGATAACTATCCACGACCTCTTGGTATGCAGCTCCCAAGACTGTATCTTTTTTCAAACGTTTCTCTAAATTTGTGAGTCTCTTCTCCGCCATTTCGTAGTTGGTTTTAGGCATTTATTTTTTCTCATCTTCCTTCCATGGAACCTTGACTTGGTACCTTTCTCCATTACTACACATCAACTCTGTAACCACCTTAACTGCCAGCTCTTCCTCTTTAGTATACAATTTAACACCACTTTTAATTAAACCTTTCTCTACTTCCTACACGTTTATCATTATTTCTTGTCCTATGTAACAATCTATTATGGTCGCTTTGACAACCATTAATACCGCATGATATTATTCGTGTACAAGTCTTAGACATGTGATTACCTAAACACTTAAATCACAATTTTTCTTTGAACTCATGGCGTTCCCACAACCTATGGATACCTTTACAACACACACATTTATCATAATTTCTCTCTGGCTTCGTACAGCTATGAAGACTCTTTTATTTTTAACCTCAACTGATTTATCTTTTACTTTTTGATTTACCTCTACGTGGCGCACAAACATAATGCTATTAACTTCTGCCTGACCTTCTACACATTTTAACATATCTTGGAAGAAGGGTTCTCGTTTCTGAAGTATCTCATAGGCAACATTGGTCCACTTAGCCTGTAGGAATTTTGGTAATAACCCCTGAACTTTGAGTAAGTTTGACGTGCTATTTAAGTCATTTGTATAACCAATTTTAGTTAATGTTATGTGACACTTTTTCATGTCTCCCACCAGCAACCATAACCCTTCATGATCTCCTCAATTTAAAGGTTTCCTATTCAAAAGATTACCCATTAAAGCATTCAGTACCAAATGAGGTTGGCCAAATTGTTTTCCCAGGATTTCTAATGCCTGATGGTAACCTTCAGGACCCAACAACACAGTACATTCAATATATACCCTAGCCTTTCCGTTACATAACTGCAGCAAATACTGTAGTTTGGAACTATCATTACTTAACCTAGCTGCGATATTTGTTTCGAAATTGGACATAAATGCCCAATAATTACCTGGTTCCCCATTGAAATCACTAACCTCAGGCTTAGGTAATTTTAAAGCCAATCTCAGGGCTATGTCATTACTCACTACATTATCTTTAGTCCCTTTATCACTATTAGTAGTACTGGTGTTTCCATTGCTACTGCCATTACTTGGGCTCAAGGCATCACTGTTAATACTAGTGTTTTCATTGCTACTGCCATTACTTAGGTTCATGGTGTCACTGTTTATACTGGTGTTTTCATTGTTGCTACCATTACTTGGGTTCACGGTGTCATTATTGATACTTGTGTTTTCATTGTCAGTTTCATTATTCTCTTTCTCTTTAAATTTTATTCGGCTCTTCAATTCCTGTATCGCTTTCTGTTTCTACGTGTTATTTTTAATTTATTTATTTCCTCCGCCATTGCTAATTTTTAATATCACAACACAACACAATGTTTACAGAATTGGAATTATCATGTAAAGTTCACAACACTTTTTATTCTTTATTCGTCGTTGTTTATTTATTGTTCAATATACTAGCATAATCGTACAACGCTCATCATAGGCCTTTACATCCAAAGTGTTATAATTATTCACTCGCAGTGTTTCGAATGTTCTAGAATTTGCTGAAACAGCCGACTCGCTGATGCCATTAGCAGCACCGCGCTGCAGGCTATAATAATTATTCAGGTAGTCTCAACGCTGTTTGTTGCTGGACCGTAAAGTTATTTTCACATATCCTAGTCTTAGGCTAGCATTTACTAGGCCTACGTTCGGACGAACAGTGAGAGTTTTCAGTATTAACTTACGGTTTAACCTCGCTCTTCTACCATTTGGATTGACGCTTTCCAATATTTTATTACTGCTCACTGTCATAAAGGAACACAATCGCATTTAAACTTTGTTTTGTTTCTTTATTAAAAAAAAAAAAACCCGGTCAACAGCCATGATCGAAAAACAACAACAACGTTCCGCTCTCGCATAAAAACTATTATAGCGCCCTCAACACTTCAACTATTGTTTTAATTAAATGATAATTTCTCTTCTATTCAGACAGTGAAATCCTAACAGTAATAGCGGGAAATTTAAATAGAATTACGAGAACGAGTCTATCAATGTACAGCTCTCGGTGACTCACACGATAAACAATAACGGACATATGATTAAAAAACGACGCTTAAAAACAAAGGATGGATTATAAACATTGAGGGCGGGCTATTCCCTGTAACCTCCCCACACTCCCCTGCTTAAACATAGTTTGTAAAAAAAAACTATATATACCGTACATGAAGAAATAACACTAAATATGCATAAACCGTTTACATTTGGCTTGTACAATAGACACTATATCTATTAATCATTAATGTCAGCAAGATGTTGGATGCGCGTGTCGATGAAACTATGCACAGATTCACGTCTTTGATTGCACTTCGGGTGCTGCGTCTAGGTGCTACATCTGAATCATCGGAATCAGATTGCGATTCATCAAACGATTCTAACAGCAGTCGTTCCTTTTCCTGCGCTGGTTGTTGGTATATTAAACGACATGGTTTAAGTTCACGTCGATGAACAGTGCTTGATTCACCAGTACTATCAGCACGCTTGATCGTGTAAGATGTATTACCTCCAGGTCTGGAGAAAATTTAATATATTGTAGAACTCCACTCATCAGCAATCTTGTGTCTGCCCAGCGGATGCGACTTAACAACGACCTTTGTTCAAACTGCAAGTGGTTTCTCTTTAGATTGCTGATCATAGATTCTTTTCCGATTCTCTGCCTCCTATTTGAGACGCTCCCCTGCTTTCTCATACGCCATCCGCATGGTCTCCATACTTGAGGCTAACCAGTCACTAATCTCTTCTGGTACGGCTTCATGTTCTTCGGGATGGTGGTTCAACATGAAAACAATCGGTAGCTTAGGTTGTCGTCCAAACATAATAAAGAATTCAGAAAAGCCAGTTGATGAATGATCAGCAACATTGTAGGCATAAAGTACCTCAGACAAATGTTCAGACCATCGGCGTTTCTGGTTATTTGGTAGTGATTTTAATAAATTATACGGGGTTCTGTTGAATCGTTCTGCCTGCCCGTTTCCCTCGGGATGATACGGTGTGGTTTTGGTCTTGGTTACGCTATACATTGTACATAGTGAACAAATAAGCGAGGACTCGAAGTTGCGTCCATGGTCGGAGTGAAGTTTTTGAGGAATATCAAACTTGGTGAACTATTCCCTTACCAATATATACATTTGCTGTTGTTTCTGCAGTTTGGTTCTTGGTCGCAACTGTGTATTTCGAGAAAACATCTGTGATTACAAGTACGTTTTCTTTACCAACACAGTCTCTCTCAAGTATAGTAAAATCAACAGCAACAACTTCATTCAGTTTGGTAGCGACAATACCTCTAAGTGGTTCTCGGATTCTAGGACCAACTTTTGCTTTCGAACACCGATCAAATTGTTCACCACATGAAGTTATGTGTTCAAACAACTTTGGCCAGAAACAACGCTTGCGTACTAAGCTTCTTGTTCGCTCCTTGGTGATCTATTTGATAATGACAGGCTTTTATAACATCCTCCCTTAAAAGCTTAGGTAAAATCAATTGCACTGATCTACATCAGAGCTCACTCTGTAAAAGCAGATTATCTCTCACTCGTATACGATCCAACTATCGTAGAAATAATCGAACTTCTTCGGTTTCGAGACTTCACTTATCTCGGTTTGGTTTACGGTTTAGACTGATGTAGTGTCGAAGTCTTGCAATTAAAGGATCTTTCTGTTGAAACTCAGCCAACTGTTGGTTGTCATATCCAGGAAAAACATGTAATGCGTCCAGTGCTTGCACATGAGCCTGGATGTTACTAGGATTAGAATTGTTCAGGTTAATTAAACTGTCGGGAACACTGTTCATTCCAACTGTCTGTTCAAAGTCTTCGGAAGTTACAACGGGATCTTCATCCCTATGAGGTCGTCGGGATAGAGCATCAGCAGCTCGATTGCTTCGCTCAGGCTTGTAGTTAACGTCAAAGTCAAATGATGCTAACTCTCCAACCCACCATTGACTAACTGCATCTAACTTAGCTGACTTAAAATGAGCAAGTGGATTATTGTCAGTAAAGACAATGGACTTTGTTTCAAGCAGGTATTCTCGAAACTTATCTGATATTGCCCATTTCATTCCTAACAGTTCAAGTTTCATGCTAGAATACTTCTTCATGTTTCGTTCGGCTCCCCTCAAGGTACGGTTTGCATATGCGATAACTTTTCTCTTGCCATCTTGCTTTTGAGAAAGTATTGCACCCAAAGCTTTGAACGAGGCGTCGATTTCAACTTCAAATGGTAGGGCAAAATTAGCATTGGAGAGTATCGGTTCTGCACATAATTTATCTTTTAATTTCTGAA